CCTGTAAAAATCGTGAACATGTATAGAATTATCATATGATTGAAACAATCATTAAAGTAACATTAATTAACGGTAAGGTTTTGTATATATATATAAACGTGTTAAGTCATCTTTAATATTAAAATATTTGGATTTTTAATATAATCACATTTATATATGTGAACTTTGTATTCAATAATTGAAAAGGTATTTTAAAATGCTACTATTATTTAACAAATAAGCAAGAATTGCGATTAATCAAAAAGATGCTACAATTATTTCAGAATTGCGATTAATCATTAATTCTAAATTCATATATAAAGTAAAAATCAGATACTCTCGCAAAATTATTTAGAATTTTTATAGCAACATATATTAATTATAAATTAATAAAAATTTGATTTCAACGTGATGTAAAGTTTTTCCGTGATGAGATCACTGATTAAATTTGAAAATAAATAGATATTTATTTAAACCATAAAATTCTGTATTCAAGCATAGTTCAATTTTTTAAAAATAACTCACCTAACAAATAAAAAAAATGTCTATTAAAAATTGCTGAAGACCGTGAAGCTAAGAAATGATGTCATAATATTTATAAAATCATTGATTCCTTAAACAAAGAGGAGTTAATAAAAATTCAAAACCACATTAATTCAATAAATCATCCAAATGTCAACATCTATGAAATTATTGATTCTTTAGACCAAGAAGAATTAATAAAGATACAAAACTATATTGATTCGATCAATTCAAAATGACGAAGCACTATAGAAAAAAAACGTAATGCATTAATTGATCAAATAAAGAACCTACCAGATAATCAAATTTTAAAATTAGAGAATTTAATTAATACGATGGTATATACTAAAGATAAATTAAAAGGTGAAATATTGCTACCTTACTTACAAAATAAAGCAACTGAATTTGTAGATAGTGGTCTTTTTAAGCATTATTCGTCTGCTTGTGATTTGCAAGATAAAATAAAAAAATTAGAAACTGAAAATAAAAAATTAGCAAAGTCTTTAGAAAATTCGAATCATGAGCTTAGATCTTTTCGTATGAAGCTCGTACG